TCCCGCCGATTACCGCGATGACCTGACATCCTGGTACAGGGACTAAGGCGGTGACAGTGACTCCCGCCAATTACCGCGATGACCTGACATCCTGGTACAGGGACTAAGGCGGTGACAGTGGAGCCTTTGTGGACAATGTCTTTGTTAATGTGATTTATAGCTGGACTAAATCCTACATTTACATTGTTTATACGACCGTTATTGGAGAACTGGCCTCGTTATGAAGTATATTTCAGGAAACATGAGACAAATTTAATACTAAGATCCCCCTGTCCCTGACAGTGGCCCCCCAGCACATTTGCAGTGGGGTGTGTGACTAGTGACTCTCAGGCTAGGGTTCCATTGGGGGTGGGGCCAAAGCTGACTCCGCCTCCCTCCCATTCAGGGCCTGACCATGCTCTGCGAGACCATCGAGGAGTGCTGGGACCATGAGGCGGAGGCGCGGCTGTCAGCCGGCTGCGTGGAGGAACGAGTCGTCCAGATGCAGCGGCAAGCCAGTGTCGCCGTCACAGAGGAAATCGTCACCGTTGTCACCATGGTGACCAACATGGACTTCCCGCCCAAGGAGTCCAGCCTATGATGGGCGCAGCGGGCACTGCAATCGGGGTGTTGGGATGGGGACGGGGGTGGGGGGGGGTAGATGGTCTGGGGTTCAGGATGGGGGCAGTGGCGATGCCCCCAGAGCACTAAAAGCAGACGATGGCGCTCGCCCCCAGAGCAGCTGACTTGTGGGGGGTTAGGGGCGGGGCACAGAGCCCTGTGCACATTCAGATGGGTTTGGACTCAATTCGCTCACCTCCACTCGTGCCTGGAGACCGGCATCTTGCACCGGGAGCCAAGGCCGAAAGGGGACACGTGGAAAGGACACCGCCACCGAAATCAGACTTTTGGAGATTTCCTTTTGTATCAAAGAAGAAAAAAAGACTTAAAAATAGACACCTGCTAGTTTTTCTATGAGGAAAGAGAAAGGGAGACGGAAAGCGCTCATTTGAGAAGGGCGGCCTTTTTCTCACCATATTCGCTGTTTTACTCTTTATATAAATGACTCTTGTGATGCCAGTAAGCAACAGCTTCTGAATGTTTAGTGTGCTGCTGTACATATATCAATGGAGAAAAGCAAAACGACACCATAGTCAACGATATCTGTAAGGAGTCACTTCCAAATTTTATTTAAAAAAAAAAAACCATAAACCTCCCACAACCAGGTATACCTCAGCTCACCTCACGGAAAACACTTCAATCAGTCGGTGCCGGTCTTGGCCTTGTGGCTTCAATATTGATGCCTGGTAAGATATTACCCAAACTGTGGCCAGACTCTGCCAATTCCGTAACGGCCATCGGTACATAAAACAGTGTTTCGCCTTTTTTAAAATGTGCTTTTAGTCTTCTCTGTATTATTGTTTTTCCCTGGTGTTTTAAAGTATTTTTTCTGAAACATTTACATTTTTTTGTTTGATTGAAAACATACAATCATAGTACAGGTGATTAAAAAGGCCCTCTTCCCCGTTTAGGTTTGCCGTGTCAGTGATATGCTTGGGGAGGAAGTCGCATGCCTTTTTTTCAGTTTTTGCTCAGGCCGAAATTTTCTGATCATGTGCACAAGTTCCCGTCCGCAGGACGTGGAATTGTGCTTCTCCTTTCTCCCTCGGCACGCCCAGCCACTCTCCACAGGATCTCTTTCCGAGGCTCGCCGGTGACCCCCCCCCCCCCCCCCCCCCCCCCCCCCCCCCCCCCCCCCCCCCCCCCCCCCCCCCCCCCCCCCCCCCCCCCCTCCTCAGCTGTGCCTGGCAGCTCAGGAATGGCCTTCCTCTTGGAGTCTGACGTCAGTGGCTCTCTAACTCGCCTCAATGCCCTCATGTCACCTTGTGGGAGTTTTACTTACACAAAAATGTTCTGAGGGCAGAATGAATCATGATGGGTCCAAGCAAGTAGAGGAGGCGTGACCAAGACATCTAATTGGTTGGTCCTGCCTCCTCTAGTTTCTTGGACCCACCTCCTCTACAATCTGATTGGTTGTTTCTTTGAACCAGTTATTTTTCATTCTGCCCTCAGAACATTTCTGAGTAAGTAAAACTCCCATGAGCGCTCTCGTGCCCCAGAAAACCTCAACCCGTCCACGGCCTAGCAGTAAAAACTTGCTTTCTTCCTTATTTTCTTCCTTCTGGTAAAATCACATGGGAGTCAGTGACATTTGGCGCTGTGACATCTGCGTCAGTCTACGTCCTGCTCGGGGACGTCTCAAATGGCAAAATCTCATTCACACCACCGCAGCATTCAGGGATACAGTACTATGCTCTGTTATGCTGATTATATGCAATGGGCATCGCCTACGAGGCCGTGTGTATTTTTAAACGAGTTATCCTGTGGAGAGCTCATTAATTCACGAGATCGCCAGGCGCTCGTGCTCACCATCACCAGGTGCCAACTTTCTGAGGCATGGGCAGGGTTTATGAGGGTGCCCACCCACCAGCAAGCTGGTCACTGGAAGGCTGGGATTGGCTGCATCACCCTGAGCATCGGTACTTCGTGGTGGGTGGGCACGCGGTTGCCCTCGGTGACGTGCCGAGCTGGGAGAGGCACATGGGCATATATACATCTGCTACTGCATCATGCGCTCTTTTGCTGGAGTAGAATAACGAATAATGGTTATATTGATAAGGCAGCCACTGGGTTCCCTGCCCACAGCTGGTCCTGCCCAGATGTCCCTTTAAAGTGAGACCCTTCTTGAAGCCTGAAGGTGGCGCTGTTTGCTCGGCACTCAGTACCGTGTCAATGCTTGGTGTTCAGGCCTGGGCCTTTTTTTAAGTGTTGAAGGTCTGCATCCCCCCCCCCCCCCCCCCTCCCCAAATGAAAGCCAAATGCTTTGGCACCAGACTTCACAGCAAATGCACATTATGTAAATATGTATGTTGTTTTTAGATTGTGAATATAGCATGAGCTTGTATCTGTTGTATTTTTTTAAGGTATCACAAAGCAAAAAAGGATCTTTATAAAGTAATTATTCCAGGAATACATTTTGTATATATGCATACATGTATATGTGTGTGTGTATATATACACATTTTTAATGGTATTAATTCGTGCCCCCCCACCCCAAGACTGGTCAGTACAGACGGCACCTCGTTTACCTCAGATGCCCCCGCCTGCTTGCCCGCTGGTTCACTCCCTGGCGCACGCGTGACCTCCTGCTCCGGGAGCGTTGCCCGGGATACGACCCGCGGTACCGTGCGTGCCGCGCTCTCGGGTTCCAGTGCCGGCGTGGTTCTGCTGAGCTGACACTGCTGGGCCGCGCTCACCATCCCGCCGATGTTCCGCGTGTGGTTTGCACAAGCGACTTTTCTGCTGTCCAAGTGTACTTGCCATTTTTATTGTTTTGCGAGTATTTAACAGTTTCAGAGGCCTGGTTGGAAGTGATTGTTTAATATTGTACAGGTAAATTGTATGCTATTCCACCCCCCCCCTCCCAAAAAATAAAGTATAGTGACCGCTATGCCCCATGTCCGTGCTCTTGCTGCCCCAGATGGGTGTTAGCCATCTATTAGGAATGAGGCTCTACGTCATACCTCAGAACACTCCTGATTGGCTGACGTCTTACCGTCATGTGACCTTTTTTCTACCATTCCATTTCCTGTGCTTTCCTGTGTTATCATGTCACTGATAAGCTAAAGGAAACTGTTCCTGTAGTTGTACTGGTTCATGCTGTACTGATTCGCACAAACACTCGCAGTGAGAAGCAGGTATGGGACCCCGCTGCACTTCTGACTTACTAATATTCACAGAGCAGAAAGGAAAGCTTCATACCCTCAACCGCTCCTCTGCGTCAGGGCTGGCCCCACTGCCCACTGGATGTACCACACTGGGCCAGATGCAAACTCCCACTGTAATCCAGGTGTACTTTCTCAAAGCCACACACCCCCAGGGGGGAGGAGTGCGGTCTGTCTACCCCAGCTGTCCAGAAAGCAGAATTTAATCTACCATTTCAGGGGCCCTGGGCAAAGCTTAACTTGGGACAGCCCCCTATCAAGAAAATTATCATTCAATTTCCTCTGCAACCCAGGTGATTAGTGGGCCCAAAGCAACTGCATTGACATGTATATAATAAATATATATATATATATATATATATATATATATATATATATATATATATTTCTCATGACTTTGCCTGGGCCTCCTTGGGCTGATCAGGCCTTGGGCAGCAGCCTAGATTGCCTGTGCCTGGATCTGGCCCCGCTTGTATACACTGTACACTCCTTTTCAGTTCTTGTGCATCATGAATACTGCTAAGGATTTTCTGTGTCATTTCAGCTTGGTCTACAAAAATGTATGTATTACATGGGTGAAGGTAAATGCATATTAAAGGTAGCTATTCCTTTGAAAAACACACCCCAAACACAGCCATGGGTATATTATAGCATTACGGATTATAGTAATTGAGGCCTCAGCACCCTACTCCTTGTACTGCAGTAAGGTATAATTACCTCGCCAATCCAGAGATCTCTACCCTCTGTCAAGGAAACGGAAGTAACTTTCACCTTGATATAAGCATGAAGTCATCAGAAGAGAATCCAGCGCTGGTCTGGCTGGACTATTTCTTGGTGTCTGGTTCACCAGACCCTTGGTGTTGTGGGTATTTTGGTCCAGTCATGCATCCTGTTCAGTCGATTACCAGATTTTACCAGTTTATTTTCACAAAAGATAATGTGAAATATGCTGAGATCCTATGTGTCCCATTCCTAACAGATACTTTGTTTTATTCCGACGACTTCAGAACAAGCCACAGCCACATACTACATATAAGCCTGTGTTGGACTGAGGATCATGGTTAATATGTTTAAACTCATCTAAGCTGTTTGCCAATGATTCGTGGAATCTTTAGGTTATATTCAGTGTGCTACAGGGTTCTAACATGAGTGCGGATTAAAGAGGAGGAGCTGCATTGACACGTGTGACCTTCCTTCGTACGGCACTGAACATGCGGTCCCAACATCAGCATTCTGAAACTGCTGTTTCTCGTCTGTTTGAAGCAGTTGTATCCTGTTACTGGTTTTGGGTGCCTACTACAGTGTGGTCAGGTGGTATCCAGTGTTGTCCGTGTGACTTCAGGCATCTAACATCTCTGTGTAAAGAGGAAATCCCAGTTTCATTGTCTTTTAGAGAGATTTGTTGCAAGGAAAAAAAAAAGTACAGATGAGTTACTACCAATTTGAGTAATTGGTCCAGGAGAACAGCTCAAAGCACCTTACTTACCCTGAGATGTCCACACTTGTATTGTGTTTAAATGTCAAATTTATTCTGAAGTCTCTGAAATGTAGGACTCATCCAGCTTAGAATATGTAGGTCCGGAGCCTACCTCGGAGGATATGGGTGCAATGTAGGGAATAACCCAGGAGAGGGTGCCAACCCATCACAGGGCACACTCACACACCGTTCACTCACACACCATTCACTCACACACCATTCACTCACACACCATTCACTCACATGGGAGATTTGCTAACTCTAATTAACCTCAGTATGTTTTTGGACTGTGGGGGGAAACCAGAGAACCTGGAGGAAACAACACGGGGAGAACATGCAAGTTCAAATCACTCTAATGTACTCTAAACACTGTGGAAATTCAATATCATGTTGGCATAATAAAGTTATAGGAAAATATTGAAAATTCATATATATATTTTTTTTATTTGTAATGATTACGTAGCTAACGTTGCTTATGTAGACATTTCCTTAGCAAATGGACAAAGCATAATAACCAATCTATCACAAATATTTTCAGCTTCACAGTGGAAAGGTTAGACTGCTTTATAATATATTAACTATTATACTTACAATACATATTATCCTTTACTGTTTGTATTGTCAATAGTTAAAATGGGGTATTTACCTAGTGGCTGATGTGAAAACTGGATGAAACAGAATACTGTAGTTCCAATGTGCAGCTTTATTCATTTAGCCTAGAAAGTATTTTTGTGTAATAATATCCATGTTTCACTATACAGACAAAACATTTCTGCCTAAAGATTTGTAAAATGCAGAAATTGTTCAACAGTGGTGAACATCAGTGGGGCATTGTGGGGAATACATTCACTTGCTGAAATTTGGAGATGACTAAACACACATACACATCACTATCAGAATCAGAAAAAAACATTTGAGGCAAAAGCCCCTCTAAAATAGGCCTAAGGATGCCCCTGCCCATACTGCAGACTTTTTTTTCAATTTGATACAGGCTATTTCCAAGGTTGGTATTATCAATATTATTTGTATAATTTACCGACAGGAGGATCCATCATTCCATTCCCATCTGGGTCACAATAAGTAATATTACTGGGGATACAACTGTATTCATCAGACGAAAATGCTATTTAAGTCAAATGCAGCTTCTGTTAGTCATACCAGGCCAAATAGTAATTTATTGTAAATGTATTCACTAATTTGTTACAATGCGTGGGGGAGTGCCTCAGCACCTGTCCCCTCTTGCCCGGAATATTGAAAGTGCCCCCCCTATTAGGGCACTGAGACCCGGTCCAACAGCTGCCCCTGTTTCTGCATGACCGGTTAGGCTCTCTCACTTTGTACAGACAGATCATGATCCTGCTTGGGATGTGAAGCGTCCTGTTTAATCCCATTTTATCATGTTTAGAGGAACATTGAGTGAAGAGGTGTATGTTGTGGATTAGTTCCTATCAGACCAGTAGTGTTTTAAATGCTGAATGGTTTGTATAGCTCTACCAAACTAATGTAAGTGAACTGCGTATGTCCTGGTTGAATAGCCACTTACCCCAATAGGGCTTATGCTGCATATTAAAAAGGTTTGGCTTATTTACAGGAATGCAGTTCTACCTCAATCCAATAGATGGCAGCAAAGTAAAGGTGTAAGCTCATCAAGCAAGACGTTTACCGGTTCATGGGCTTCACAGTCATCTGCATACGCGTTACATTTTGCTAGGATATATGGTTGCACATTCACAGTGCAGGTTGTAATTAGTATGCATGTACATTTATAATGATTTTTTAACAGTTAACAGCTTGAGTGGGAACCCTGTAGCGTGGCATGTTGGATCAGTAGGAATCATGCCTGCAGGGGTGCGTCTTCGATTGCCACTTCTGCTCCCTGTGCGTGGATTCACACTCAGGTCTCTTCCCAAGGTCTGAAATTATCTGCTTAGGCTAAGTGGCATCATTTCATTTCACTGCAGGTTACAGTATAACTATATACCATAATTATGACAAATACAAATCATTGAATCCCTAAATTGTGGGCTGTTGTGTGGCTCAGAGGTTTAAGTGTCCTGCCTGTGCTGACCCACAGAGGTAAGGTAAGGAGCATACACTGATTACAGAGCGTTGCCACACCCACCACATGACAAACCATCTCAGGGATGAGAACCTGAGTGCAGCCATGCAGCAGGTGACACCTCAGCACCATACTAGTCTGAGTGGACCAATGTGAGGTTTTTTTCAGGAGCACCAATCCTGCCACCAACCCCCAAGTTTTTCCCTGTAAGTTGGCGGGCCTCCTTATAGGGCTGGATGTAGATTAATATCATACACAGGATAAAGCAATTGCATTCTTGCACTTGGGGCATTCTTGGGATTTGAACCAGCAACCTTCCAGTTGCTGGCACAGATCCTTAACCTCAAATCCATCACTCTGTCCCACAGAGGTGCCGGATACATAGCCTAACCCAAACTTCACTCTCAGTTGTGTGTGCAGATGCCCCTCAACTTACGATGGGGTTACGTCCCGATGAACACAACGTACGTGGAAAATGTTCCAACATGTTAAATTAATATACATTAATACATTAATAACAAACATTATAATCATATAATGTGTCACTAATGTATATTAAAGCTGTTAAGGTATGTCAGGATGTTAAGGTATTATGTTTATGAATGTTCCATGAATGCATTATGAAGGTGCGGTTAATGTAAAGCATTACCGAAATTTCTGTCATTTACTTTAATTCTCCCGCTGTATAAAAGATAATAATTGATGATGATGATTATTATTATTATTATTATTATATGTTTATTAGGATGGTACGGAGCACATTACTGATGAGGAAAACCAAAGTATCTGATGATTATGATTGACTACTCAATGACGGATTCAGTTACGGACTGCAGGGGGCCTCATCATGGACGACAGAACCCTGAAGGCAGTGTTTGTGTTCACAGCCCAGTCATTCAGCTGCTGGAGACGGATTTGAGAGGTTGTGCTCAGGTGATCAAACTACTTTGCTGAGAGCTGACCGACGAGGCTGACCGTGTGAGCACCGGGGGTCTCCGGCACATGCGGGCACCTCCTCCCCTTGGTGCTGCGGCGCAGATGTCTGAGCATGATCTGTCAGCTCCAGGCCAGATGGTGATGGACTCAAGTGCTGTATTGTGCTGATAATTGCTGGGAGGAGAGTGAAGCTGGTGCGACATAGAATGGGCCCATTGAACGGGACTGTGGGAGAGCAGCAAGACCGCGGGCAG